CACACGTTTTCAACACGTATCCGCTCCCTAAAAAATTGTAAAAAATCGATTCCGCGCTTCCGCGTATCCGATTCTGATTCTATGCAACATGAGAGTCTCAACGCGTTAGTGAATGGGAACCGGCAAAGGCAGACGCTAATCGACGAATAAGGTTATACCGGCAATTACGGGTAACCGGTTTACCTTTTCTAAAGATCTGACTTTGCTTTAATTAATGGCATGCAAATGATACAACACAAATGTTTTTTTTTTTTTTTGAACCTTTACAACACGAATGTTGAAAATGCCGTTTATTTTCTTCTAATAATAGATTTTCGTATTCTAATTGTGTTTACAAATTTCTTTTGACCAGAATGTAAAATCGACTTTTACATCTGTTTATTTTCTTCTCCCTTGATTACATCTACATTAACATTTTTTTTTTGGTCAAAACATTAACATGTGTTTATAAGTCAATTTAAGCTATTTTCTCTAAAAGAAAGAGTCAATTTAAGTTCTTTACAAAATATTTCTTATCCGACTTTTGGAGGTTTAAGAGTGGCCCAACGAGGATAATTAAGAAACCCAATAATGCTTAAGCCCAAATAACGGATTGGTTTATGCACAGTTTATAGTTTGGTTTGTATTAGTTCAATAACCGGTTGTATGTATCTAATATACAAGTGATATTAATGAAAGAATATAAACCATAAATAACCATATCTCAATAAACGGATATGAACCAGTGTTGAACCAGTACAAACCAAACTTTATACATCTAAAAGCCTCATTGTTTTATGGGTTAACTAGATTTTGATCCACGCCAAGCGTGAGATTAAATAATTAAATATGTTTTTAATCGAAATTAATATTTAGACGTGTATTCTAATATTTATAAACACACAAAACTGATATGTATTGTGCATACATATAATAAAGCTAAATTTTGATTAAACATAAACATATTTTATCTTTTTAAGTTTTTATTTCTCTCATCTATTAAAAATAATCATGAATTTTTGGTTTTTGAATATTTTAATACCGTTTTTGACTCATATAAAAATATCTAGTATTATTGAAAAAGAAAATATTTAAATATTTTCTATATTTCTTAAATAAAATTCTCTATATTAATTACCATATATTCGTTATTTCCATATAATTTTTATTAAAAAAATTTAATAATTTTTATTAGGAAATGAATTCCTTAAAACCCTCTTATGATGACACCTAGGATTTTCACCTAGTGTCTCTTCTATTAATATATAGAGGATTACTAGAATACTCTTGACAAATACACTAATTATTAGAATAGTCTTGACAAAATATCAAAATACTAAAAAAGGGTTTATAAGACATATAAACCAGGGTTATGTTTTGTTATTACAAAAATATCATTTTTG